GGAATAAACAAGCTTACCGACTGCTAACATCCAATGCTGCTCATTGTCTTCCGCCCTCAACTTCCCACTCCTTGATGTCCTTCTGCCGGGCCCCGGTAAAGAAACAAAGACATAACCTACGCTGTCAAAGATTCAACTTAATTCACACAAATAATTTGCTTTAGTTTTTTTTTTTTATATTTTGAATTCAGCTTTCCAATCCTCCTACAACTCGTCCTCTGTTCACGACGTCTTACCATCCCACCTAATTGCAGAATCCTGATGTTGATAATTAAAACCTGTTCTCTTTTCCTTTTTTTGCTCAGAGTGTCCAGAAAACACTCAGCAAACTTGTTGTACCCATCAACTCTTTTTAAAGAAAAGACACCAACTTCTCCTGTTTAAAAAAATACAAAGAAATCTGTTAACGAATGTAAAGCTGCAGAATTTCCCTGTCATATCAAGCGCAGCGGGGAAAGTTCAGCATTGAACTTGAAGAGATATACTTTGAGGTTAAATAAAACCAAAAGCCTACGGAAACCGACTACAAAAAAAACTCCTGTCCTCCAAAACGTAACTCCCCGACTTTTTAAACTGAAGTTCAAGAAGACTGAACTTCAAGAGCAAGTTGCAGAAATTATGCTGAAAAATGAAAAGAAACACAACTGCCTTGAGAAAATTAAATAACAGTTTGCACTGATTCTTTGCACATAACAAGCTACCCCATCGTTTAGTGTAAAAGGTTTGACAAATTATCCGCAAAAATAATTTAACAGACACATCCAAACAGAACGTCTTGCAATAATACTAAAGAACGTTAGGCAGAAACTTGAGGTTCTTCCAAGTGACGATGAACCATTTCTTCTTTTGAGATCAAATGAGCTACCTGGAAAGAAAACAAAGTTTGAAATATGCCTTTGAAAAAAACACAACGAACACTTTATCTATGTAGTGCAAACCCTTCATTATAAAAAAATGAAACCAAAGTACTTCTTTTACTAACTACAAACTAAAAAATTCAGTTAAAGAAATCGTCACTGCTTACGTTGATGGGCAATCAAATAAAACTCACTTTATTCAGTATATCTGTTAACTTCCGAACCGAACTTCCCCACTGGTCCAACTGCTCAATATGCGCTTTACGTGCTCTCAAATTAACAATTCTTTTTGGCCTATGAATTTTAGCATCAGGTATCGCACCGCTTACAATCATATTGCATAGAAAACTTTCCATTTCCTAAAACCTAGCTTTTAAGCAAACGGAAACGTGAACCAAGAGGCCTTATTAATCAGGGTGGATGACTAAAGTAATGTCCTAGAAACACTGCACCACTTGTCCTGAAAAGAAAAGAAAATGTTCTAAAAATGATACATCAGGAGGATAGTCGAGTAGTTCAGCCATGCGGTCAAAAGTAATTTGAGTGTAGTATTTTGCTATCATTCGCATATTCTAAAAAAAAACCCACACATTTTTATTCAGTAATTCGCTCACAATATTCTTAATGATAAAGTTACAAAAAAAGCTTGATAGCCAGATAATAAGTACGTATTGTTTAGGTATGAATAAAGAGACTTTGAGTAATCTGCTGCAAATTCGGCGTCAACTTTCAATTTTGAGGAAAAAACTTACGTGCTCTCCTACTCTCGTTTGCAAATCACGCCAACGTTCCTGACCCTTCTCACTTGAATCAAAAACGTCAGTAGCTCGACTAGTAGGTAACCCAACTCGCAACAGTTTCTCATATTGAGCTAATATGGTTTCCTAAAAAGATTAAAGCCTTTAACTGTTGGTGAATAAATCATTAAGACGCAATTTTTGACAACAACCATAGAGAAAAACCTAATTATTATGTAAAGAAAGCGCAAAACAAGTTTACAAATAGCAAACAAAAAACATGCCTTCCACGCTATTATTTCTTCATTTACAAATAGTTCCAATAACATTTTATATTCAGGAATTAATTCCAGCTGTCTTATCCCACGTATTCGATGCAGAGTATCCCACTGCTCATTTGTGTGAGGTGACAACAGGACATACAGCACGACGCATTTCAAAATCTATTAGAAGTTTTTGAATGACAGCATTATCTTCCCAAAGAAAGATTTAAACAGTAGTAACAGAAAAATTTTTCTCAGTATTTGGAGTTATTTTTCATTCAAAGTATGTACAGGAATGATAAAAATAGAACAGAAAATCTTTTATATTACTCTCTTCATTTTTTCGGCATCAGCCTGTATTCGTGGAGTATCATAAACAGCTCTGTAATAACCGCATACGTCTAGATAAGAGTTTTCACTGAGACCAATTTTAATCATAAGATCATAGTATTTCAATTTCAGATCTTGAATCTGCAAAAAATTTCGGACTTATGTTATATGAACGAGAAGTGGAAAAAGGTATAACAGATGCTAAAACTTATCTAGTAAAATCCTTACCACTTCGCCTTTATCCTCAAAAAATCTAGTGGAAATCTTTTTAGATATTATCGAACCACGTATAAAATCTTTCCTAGTAACAGAGAGCCGCATCTGTTCCAAAAGAAATTCTACCTGAAATAGAAATTAAAATGGTTAAAAAGCATTTGCAATCGTGGAAAATTTTCATCAACGCCGACTTTCTCTTTCATCTCCATAGAACCATATGTCTCAACTTGCAGCTCAAGCAGCATTGTAGCAGCCTCGTCAAGTTTACCTTCAGATTCCAACTTTTTAACCAAACGACCGGTAAGCCGGGCTCGTTCAACTTCAACATAAATCTATAAAAAGTTTAATGTCATGAAATAAAAAAAAGAAGAACGAAACGAACGAAGAATTAAAATAGAAAAAAGCGGTATTACAAACCTTTCCTGCAGTAACTGTGCGTAAGGTTTCAATAAGTTTAAGTTTGACCTGCTCATCTGGTGTCCGATCAATCATATCACAACAATCTCGTACCTAGATTTATCCTCATCTTAAAAGAATATTCCTCGATGTCACGTTAATGAATTGTGGGTTTTACCGGAAGGAGAACCACAGTTAAAACATAATTCACACGTGACTACCAATATAATGCTTTAAAATAATACCATTTTGGTTATTGCAACTTTGATGAGTGAGCGTTTTTTTGAAAGCAACATAATTGTGTCGTTGAGTAGTGTCCAATCTCCACCTTCGAAGCATAGCTTCACCATATGCTGTACTATACGTGTGTTGGATTTCATATCTGACCCGATACGAGTTTGCTTCTCCAATCCCGATAATGATTCTAAAGCTGCAGCCACATTTCCTGTCTAAAAAGGAAACAATGTTAATAGAGGATGAGGAACTGAAGTTGTTAATACAATCATTTATCTTTTATTACATCGCAAAGAAGAACACAACAATTCGATGTATTTTTAAACTTTATATTACTTTGGCAATTGCATCAGCTTTAGGCAAAGCTTCATCAACCTGAGAAGTATAATCAACCTCCATTTTAAACAAACGCCCATCGCCTTCCTAGAATAAAGTAATTCATAGAAAATAATAAGAATCAAAACTTAATAATTACCCCGGTTCCGCCAGCAAAATCAGTTTAGAAAGAAAGAACTGGATAGGTTTTATTTTACAACTCAATTTCTTCTGTGTTGAAAATTTCAAATTTTGTCATAAAACATGCCTAAACTGACTTCCCTTGCTCTGCAAAAAGACAGGTTGCAAAATAAAAGCCCAAAATAGTCCATTTTATTCCATCAATTCGTTTAAACCTTTCCAGACGCATACCTGCGCAGCTATATTTGCGTATTCATCGAAAGGAATTGGCTCGCTAGATTTGCTGGGCTTTTCCGCACGAATTGGTGATACCTCTCGTTGTTCCATCCCTAAAAAGCTTTTTGAATTCCAGGGTGAAAAGGTATACAATAGCTAACAAAATATTAGTAGCGATAGACCGCTATGAAAAACAAAGTTTTATTAAGCACTGTAACTTCAGTTAAGTTAGCACAACTACAAAATAATTTTTGGTACATTTTGTAGCAAAAAACCCTGACCTTTTACCAAATTAAAGCTAATGCAAAGATTTTACACCTTTTCAATTTCCTTATTATTAAGCGTAACAGTGACGCCTTGCTAAATATTAACTGCTTGAAATAAAAAAAACTTTGAAATACGCAATAAGAGTTTCCTTAACTTTGTTCAGTAAAAGTGTTTCAATCAAATCTGAGAAGTTTTTTTCGCTCTCACGGCAGTTATTGGTAAGAACGATAAGAAGACTGAATTTTGACAGCGAGTTCACCTCTAAAAATTCGGCTGGTTCCAAAATCCATGATGCAGATGACATTTTTCAAAGAATGCACATTTTCAGTCCTTTTTAAGCTAAGATATTGCAGTTAGAAACACAGGCAAAAAAACTAAAACCAAATGTTCTTTCTTCCCAATTTTACATAACTGTATCTTTCTTTGGAAAAACAGAAACGGTGTAGAAAGGACAGTATAAAAGATTGAAAAAAAAAAAACAAATTTTTACTTTGAAAATAAAAACTTTAGAGGAGTGAGTAAAGGACTGCCAACAAGATAGTATTTTTCTAGATACTCACTTTATCAGATAATCTGTACTTTAACTTTTCACAGATTTTACCAGAAACAATGCCCTGTTGCTCTTCAAACATTAATCCTCTCCTAACCAATACCGCTCCGTTCTCCATCTTTTTTTTTTATTTTTGACTTACTTGTTCATGCTTCATTAAGCATTTTCATATCTGCCATCTAACATTTTTTTCTATCTGCATTCACCTTACATGGGCAGAAAACAAATCACAAGTATTCAAATAAGTTATGGAATATTACAGCTCTTATTTTGTTCGCCACTGCATATTTTCCCTTTCACATATTATGGAAGTGGAATCATCAAAACTCATAGATACTTTACAGACTATTTTATAAGAGCGAAGCACTGATAAGGTCAGGAAGAGATACAGAAAAAATGACTGTCTAGTACTTAAATAATACCAATAGGACGACTTAAGCGAAAATAAGCTTAGTTACGGGAATACAGTCTTTCCCACCACCCTTCGATAGTTGCCAATTCTACGGGGAAAGCAGAAGAATGAGAATAGTCTCGCATTTGGCAGTGTGCCAAATTTAAGTATTGCAACTTCCAGTACTAAAAGCAATTGTACGATTCGCTCTTTAATTTTGACAACCATCGACGCTCTCAGTATTGGATATGCTGTATATAAAGTTATTTATGTGTATACCTATTGCTGTCGATGGCTGTAGACAGTCCATTAGATGGTATTTTTTTATAATCAAAATACATTGTGGAAGATTGCAGTGATGCAGTGGAAGATTAGCACTTTCAATATTTGGTTGCGTTATGGCAAAACCCAAATGTAAAAAATTGTGAAATTTGCTTCATACTGTTTAACTTCACAAAAGACGGAGCGATGTTCATGTTATTGTGTTTCCAGCTTTCTAAATGTGAGGAGAATGGCAGAAGAAAACCAACTTTTTAAAGATGTTGAATTGTCAGCGATAAAATAAGTGAAACCAACTGTTTTGGTTACGGGTTTATAAAAGTGATAGAAATATTTCTACGAGTTTCCAGTGCTCTTTCTCTTTTTTCTTTTATTGTACCATGTTGTGTTTCAATTTAATTTGATTTAACACTATTTGACTTTTTTACTTTATTTATATCTTAATTTAATTTATTTTCATTGTAGAAGAGTTTGAAATTAGTCAAAGCTTTCCAAGTGTCCTCTTTAAGCCTTTTATGATATAAGGTATTTAACTATTACTTTGATTGACAATCCTCTGCCGAATAACAAGGATCAAGTAAATGAAGTTGGAGTTGTTTTGTATGTTAGTTTCATTTTAGTTGGTTGAAGCTTTTTGATTGCTTACTGATGTCCTCTATAGAAATTTCTAGTTGATTCTTTTTTTCGAGAACAAATTTCATTTTGCATTTCTGAGTTTTTTCCCACTTTTTTTCATTTTTTTCAGTCATTTTTCGGCTTGATCTATAGATTCCGACTTTTGAGAGGGTCTATTTTTTGAGCAAATTAGAATACGTACCTGATGGTTATATTCATTAACATCTTCTCAAAGAATCAATTCTGGGGAGTTTAGACATTTTCTCTCTCGTTTTCGTCGGCTTTCATCCTTGATTATAGTCATATTTTTCTCCCGGTTTTTTCGAGAATTTCTTGTTTTACACCACATCCGATGTGCTGTATAAGATTGACAATAAGTTACTTCTTGCTATTACTGTTAATTTTTTTCTTAGTTGCTTGATACTTTCATACTGCGAGTAAGAGTAGTATTTTTAGCGAGCCAGCAACAAGTAAAAATTTATTCTTTTTGAAAAAGTTTTGATTGAGAATTTTGTTTAAATTTTTTCTTCAGTAACTTTTATTGTTATTAGAACTCGAGAATTTTAACGTCGTTTCTTTGAAGACATAGGGGAACAGTATTTACTATTGTTTATGAAAGTTTTTAGCTTGAAGAAGCAGTTTACAGTCAAATGACGTTATGGATGGGGGCAGGATGATGATGCCTCCGCCGCCCATGATTAATATGCCTCATGTACCCTTACCACCACAAAGTAAGTTAGTTATTCTCTAGTTTTATAGTTTTTCTTGGTCTTGAGTTTCCAGAGTGCTGTAAGGTTGAATCTTCTTTTTTTTTCATATTTGAGCATCATTGCAAATTCTTACTGTAAATAAGGATTCGGTACGATTTTGCAGTGTCACACCATTAATTTGTTACTTGGTGAACTTTGCTTCTTTTTTCACTGCACGATCTTCAGTTTTTGTAGATGATACTTATTTACTTTTTTAGTTGATTTCTGTGAAGCTCAGTTTTCAACAGTTTTTAGCACCTTTGTGGTGTGAATTTGATATGGTTTACTGTTAAAGTTTTAGGAGCTAATTTACTGGTGCAGATGGTAATTTGTTTAAAATTTCTGGTGGTGAGTGAGCATTCGTAATAGATTTTTTTGAAGGCGAAGAAGAACGCAATGTAATTGACAGGTTAGCAGGATTTGTGGCGAAAAACGGGATGGAAGTTGAGAAAAGAATTCGTGAAAAACAATACGGAAACCCGCATTTTGCATTTCTCTACGGTGGCGAGCATTCGGAGTATTACCGTTATCGTTTAATGCAAGAGATACAGAGCTGTATGTTTTCAGCAACTTTTTCGTTAGATTTTATGACTTTTTCAATGTTTGAAGTTGTATTCTGATTGCTTTTTTTAATTTTTTTGTTTCCTAAGACTTTTAATTGTGTCTTTTAATTTGATGTCAAAACAGCTTTTGACAATATTCAGGCAGTCTTGCCTTTAGTTTGTAACGTTTGACGCTTTAGTAAACGAACAAGGTGGTGGAAATATGAACAGTACTGGTTTAGTTGGGAATATGCAACACTTTGAAACAACCACCAATTCAATTCTGCCAATAAATCAGTTTGACCCCAATGCTCCACCACCTTTACCTATGCAGCCTCAGTTTGATGCAAGCGCCATATTAGCGGAAATCACATCCTTAAATCAACAGATTGCTGACAGTGAAGCTAATTTGAGAGCACAGTACGAATCAATCGAAATTCAGAAAGAAGTAGTGTTTGTTCAATTCGCTTGTCCAGTAAAATGTGTTATTCTTTGTTTGTGCGAAAGGCACTGAATAATATTGGCTTTTTAATTAGCTAGAGTGTTTTGGTTACTTTTTAGATTTTACTGCTTTATTGATTTTCATTTTTTCAAGGAAGTTAATTTTCCAGGCCCAATTAGCTGCGGCAATAGAAGTAGCTGAGAAAAGCAAAATCGAATCAATATGTGAACAGGTTTCATTGGATGTATCGCCTTTATCTAAACTCCTTGACCAACTTAGTGGGCACTGTTCGAAGGAAGTTATTGCGGTTAGTGAACAATTTTTTACTACCTTTTGTGGAAAAGCTGTATAGCACAAGAATAGCAAATTATTTTTGCTTTATTTTTTAACAGTTAGGAAGCAGAAGTTTTTCGGTAGCTGATTAAACAACCCTCCAAGCTTCAACTTACAAAGTTCTTTATCTGATGTTTTATTAACCGAAGTAGCAGATAATATCATTAATATATCTTTTCATCTTTTTGAATCTAGTTTTTTGTGAATACCATTGTTAAAAAAATTTTTTTTTGTTCTAGTCGAGCAAGAAATGGATATTTGAAAAGTGCACGACTGACCGTCTTCGAGAGGTAATCCTTATGTACTTACTTTATCGTGTGAAGGAGCCTCGCGCGACGGAACAGTTCAAACTCCACATCCTTTACCTCATCAACGACTGGGCGCATCATTGGTAGTAGATATCTGAAGAAATTAAAATTTGTTGCCGAAGTTGTGAAGGGCTGGAATTTTTGTCGATACTTTCTTGAGATTCTGAAATGCGCGTGGAGCGCAAAATATGCTATTTTTTCTTTGAAGTATTTTTCCAAGCTAAGTTTTGTTTAGCCAGCGTAAGAAATTGGACGCTATAAGGCAAATGCTTTCTCGTTACGTCCCACAGTTGTATGCTTTCACTGCTCAAGGCGCCAACGATCCGACTCTGAATGAAAAACTGGAGAAGTTAGTCGGTGTTTGGGAAGGTCACAAATACTTTGATGATGGCTGTTATAAGGTGTTTTGTTTGAAGTTCTTTTATATGTCTGTATTTTAGTACATCACGTTTGTTTTTTTTGCAATTTAATATATTTGTGTATTTCATATCACATTCGAAGACTTTTTTCAGCAACTCAGAAATCCATTACTGATATACCAGAACTGGAAAAATGCTCAACAAGCAGAATACGCTAAAAAAGCAGCTGAGATTCATGCACAACTTGTCGCAACATGTAATGGTTACGAAAGGCAACATGTTGAGTTTGCTATGCATACAAGAGCTCAAATTAACGCTTTGCAACAACAGTTAGAATTACAACGGATGAATCAAGGTCTAGGCTTGTTGATTGATTGTTAAATATTTGGTTTGGTAATGGACATTTTTCGCATTGGGTTTTCATGCCTTGAAACTGTCCTAACTTTTCAATTCGAGATGTAACATTTTAGGTGGGGGACCTCCCATGCAGTCATTACCTATTAGTGGAGCGGAAGGAGTACCACAACAATCACAGCAACAGCCAATGAATCGCCGTGAAAGACGGTCAAGGTTTGACCAGAAAGCCGGGCCATCCGGTCAAGGTGGAAACTATAATCAACCAAACGCTGAAGGAGAGTACGGTCGGTTTTTTGGATCACAACCAGATGGCCAAACTAGTACGGCTCCTCCTAAAGGTATTCTGAGTGTTTTTTTATGAGTGCTTTCCTGAGAGGATTCAGGTCTTTATTCCTTAATTTGGTTGTTAAGTTGATGACCTTCTTCATGCTGGTCCTGGTGGCTCTGAAACTGGTTATTACGAAGAACAAGATTACGGTGATGCTAGACAACGGAGCAATAAAACCGATGCCATGAAAGGGGGTATTGACCGGGGACCTCCACAAGTTGGTTTTCGAGGTGGACCTCCGGTGTGTCAGACAAATAATCTTAAAAAAATAAATCTTTATTTATTCTTCTTTCCCCCCTGTTTTCCGGCATTTAATCAGTTGACTATTTTATGCAGGTTATTGATGATGCGGCCCTAATACCTAACTGCCCATATTACGAGCTGCCGGCTGGCATGATGCTACCTTTAATCGACATGGAAGATGTTCTTGTTGGTTTATTTCTTGCAACAGATGATAGGCTTTATTCTTGCAGACGAAGTCTCTATTTTTTGAACCATTTTAGTATAAACCAGTCCCAGTTTCTAAACTGCGACTACCGCCACCTATCCCACCTAGCGACCGACTGTTACATGCAATTGAGATATTCTATGCGCCACCTTCCATTGACAGTCCAAGAGATGCGTAAGCATTGAATGGATTTTTAGAATTTTGTTATTTTATATTAAATAAGTCGCAAAGATATCTATTTTTCCGAGAATATTATGGGCTTTTTTCCATAATTCATCAAGTTTAAACCGCTTAAGAAGTTGCAGCGAGGGATGGGAAAGGCTAGGTCTGCTAGAATATTACGCAAAAAAGGCTGAAATTCGAAAACGATGGGAAAATAAAGCAAAGGACGAAGGAAAAACTTTGGAAGATCTGATTGAGAACGTATATCTTGAGAGCGACGAAGATAAGGATGACGATTCGGAACGTTCTTCATCTAGGTAATTTTCTTTCCCAAGAGCTGTAATTTCACCGTTCACAACACTTTTCATCAGTTTATGCCTTTATTCCCAGATTTCTTCAGTTTTTCAAATAGCTTCACTGAGCGTAAAGTAGGTAGTTTGCTGTTGTAATTGTTCTTGCTTTCATGAAGTAACTTCCATCCTGCTGTATATTAAAGCATTTTAGAAGCAGACGAAATTCAGATTCCTCAAGAAGTTCTTCTGATAGGAGTAGATCCCGGTCGTCAGACAGGAGGCAAAGAAGGAAAAGGAGGAAGCGTGGTAGAAGCTCGTCCAGTTCAAGGTCATCATCCTCTTCTAGGTCAAGGTCCCGATCGAGGTAATGATGATTTGAGCATCAGTTGCATAAGTCATAAGTTACTCTTGTTAATCCAGCAGCCACCCTAGTTGCATCTGTATTTTTTTTTTTTTTT